GCGTGATGAATCTGGATTTAGCGGATGCCAGGAGAATGCCACCTGCCCAAGTGCATAGTGCAAACTGTAAAGTTTGGTGGAGCAGGAATAATGGTCTGGAGCTGTTTTTCATGATTCAGGCTAGGCCTCTTAGTTCCAGTGAATGGAAATCTTAACGCTACAGCATACAATGACATTCTAGACTCCCGAGTGGCGCAGTGGTCTAAGGCACTGCATCGCAGTGCTAGCTGTGCCACTAGAGATCCTGGTTCGAATCCAGGCTCTGTCGTAGCTGGCCGCGACCGGGAGACCCATGGGGCGGCGCACAATTGGCCCAGGGTAGGGGAGGGAATGGCCGGGCAGGGATGTAGCTCAGTTGGTAGAGCATGGTGTTTGCAGAATCTAACCCAGTTGGTAGAACATGGTCTCTTTTTTGATTTCTTGAGTAAGGCAGCTCCAAAATGCAGGTGTTTCAGCCTAGCTCAGAGCTTTCTGTGGTGGTGGGGTAGCCAGCGGAAAATACAGAGCGTAGGAGTTGGTAATGTTCTCTAGTTGCGCCGTGATTGGCTCAGTGTTCTGTCACTCATGGGGACACCACGTCACCACAAAATCTACAGGGAGAGATCGAAAAATTCAAGCGCCTTGGGTGCTGCCTCAGATTTACATTAGAAGTGCCCATCCAAGAAGGCTCAAGGTCATTGGCCACAGATAAAATTACGTCAAATCACGTTATATGTACCGTAGCTTTGAATGGACTGATCATGTCAACATCATACTTTCAAAATCTTAGCTAGCAATCTAGACAAGCAGTCATCACCATTAATCATGTCAACAATCTACTGGCAGAAACCACTGACGTCATGATTCAACATAGGTTTTTTTTCAGAGTTCCCAGTTGTCTTGAAAGCACAATAAATCCAGAGAATGCCAGACGTTGATGACAAATTTTGATGACAAAATGTTCCCACAAGAAGGACCGCTGCACCACCTTCTTGTTCAAGTGAGCACAACAATATGAGTCCAAAAATGTCTTGAGTGCTGCTGCTAAATTATGTAATATGCCAGGAAGATATGTATACTGTAGCTAAGAAAGTAATACTAAGTTTATGTTGTGTAATAAGCTGTTAGTAGCCCATGTGCCTCACCCTAATAATTTGGTTCCTTTCCCCCTCATAACTTAGCCTACTGTTCTGACTTGTTGGTGCACATGTAGCCTATAGCCTGTTTTAGAGAAATGTCATCACCGAATATTGTAAGAGCTTTCATTGTCTGCTTATATGCCCCCTTTATTTATCCTACGGTTATAACTTGGTGTACATGGAGAATACTGTAACAATGGCCCATTTTCTGAATTCTGTCGCTGTACATTTAAAAAATGCTGAACAAATAGTTTTATTGACTACATCCGTCTTAGCGCACTCTTTAATGTCTTAATGGAAATTACGGATTGCCTTGTTCGGGCAGGCTTCGGCATTCGTCGTCACTGGCCTTCTAGCCACTGCCGCTCCTCATCTTATCATTCCATTTGTTTTGTCTTGTTTATTACACACACCTGGTTTCAATTCCCCTCATCAGTACCTGTATAAGTGTTCCCTCTGCCCCCTTGTCTTTGTGTGTGATTGTTTATTGTGGAGGTTATTTGAGCTCGGTGGAGCTCCTTGTACTTTGTATCGACTTATATACGGAATAAACCTTTATTCTGTGATTTACCCTCCTGCGCCTGACTCCGTCCAAATCACACGCCACAGAATCACACACCCGCCATGGAGTCAGCAGGAGAAGAGCCCATGCCTGGAGTTGTGGCACAGGTCCACAAGCATTCCAGGATGCTAGCCAGCTTGGGAGAAGCGATGGATCGGGTTCTCCAGGTCGTCCAACGCCTGGAGAGGAGAGGACCCGGCCCGTCGGGACCAGCTGAGTGACCGTATCCGGCCACCCACACTCCAGCACGCCGAGGGATTCATCTATCCCGACCGAGGGAGTTTGATGGGACGGCTGCCCGCTGCCAGGGATTCCTCCTGCAGCTGGACCTCTACTTCGTGAACATTAGCCCGGCTCCATCGGAGCGGGAAAGCCCTGGAGTGGGCCAACGCGGTCTGGAGAGAAGGAGGAACCGCGTTGGACAACTACGGGGAGTTCGCTCGCCTCTTCCGGACAGTCTTCGACCACCCACCCGAAGGACGAGAGGCGGGCAAGCGTCTGGTCCAACTGAGGCAGGGGATGAGGACCGCGCAGGACTTCGCCCTGGAGTTTCGGACCCTAGCGGCTGGGTCCGGGTGGAACGAGCAGGCCCTGATCGACGGATTCCGGTGCAGCCTGCGAGAGGACGTCTGAAGGGAGCTAGCCTGCTGGGATGCCATGTTAACCTTCGACCAGCTGGTGGACATGGCCATCCGATTGGACAACCTGCTGGCTGCTAGAGGACGTCCTGGGAGTGGCCTGCCCGTTTCACACACACCAGTCACGATGGTTACCCAAAGGACCCATAGAAAGCAAGTCACATTTTTTATTATTTTGTCCCCCAATTTCCCTGTTGCATTGGGTCTTCCCTGGTTAGCAATACACAACCCCACCTTTTCATGGCCGCAGAGGGTTCTCACGGGGTGGTCGCGAGAGTGTCAGGGTAGGTGCCTAGCTTTTCTGTTGGTGCAACCACGGTGGAAAGTCCAGACACTTCCTCCACCGTGCACATCCCCCCCGAATACCTTGATTTGGCGCACACGTTTTCCAAAACGCAGGCGACCAAATGACCACCTCATCGGGGCGGGATTGCGCGATAAACCTACGAGTAGACGCTGTGCCTCCCAGGAGTCATGTATATCCCCTGTCGCAGGCTGAAACAGAGGCGATGGAGACATACGTCTCCAAGTCCCTGCGCCAGGGGTTCATACGTCCCTCCACTTCGCCCGCCTCCTCAAGGTTCTTTTTTGTGAACGAGAAAGACGGAGGTCTGCGCCCGTGCATTGATTACCGAGCATTGAACAAGGGGACAATACGTTCATAGTTATCCTCTGCCCCTCATCCCATCTGTGATCGAGTCAATGCAAGGGGCGCGCTTTTTTCACAAAATTAGATCTCCGTAGTGCGTATAACCTGGTGCGTGTCCGAGAGGGGGACGAATGGAAGACAGCATTCAGTACAACCACGGGGCATTACGAATACCTGGTGATGCCGTACGGTTTGATGAATGCTCCATCCGTTTTCCAGTCCTTTGTGAACGAGGTGTTTCGAGACATGCTTGGTCATGGTGTAGTTGTCTACATCGATGACATTCTGGTGTATTTCCGCTACGCGCGCCGAGCATGTGTCCCTGGTTCGCAAAGTGCTGGGCCGACTGCTGGAGAATTACCTTTATGCCAAGGCAGAGAAGTGTCTGTTTTTCCAGCAGTCCGTCTCCTTTCTCGGATACCGCATTACCACCTCAGGTGTGGAGATGGAGGGAAATCGCATTTCAGCCGTGTGTAATTGGCCGACTCCAACCACGGTAAAGGAGGTACAGCGCTTTATCGATACTTTGTATCGACATATATATACGGAATAAACCTTTATTCTGTGATTTACCCTCCTGCGCCTGACTCCGTCCAAATCACACGCCACACTTATCTGCTTTTCGTCCCCTTATGCCATAGTTTGTACATCTCAATTGTCTGTAGAAACCACATTTGTTTAAGCAGGTCAGCCATATCAGCTATGTTTTTAAAAAAAGGCAGTAAATGAGGCTGACTGAACTGTTTCGCTGCCAGACAAGGCTCCGCTGACAGCCAGGTGTAGCGGTGGTAAGAACTCCATGGTGCTGAAAAGAAAGCTCTGCTGTTAGGACAGCTTTATGCCCTAACAGTTTGTGGGCACCGTTTTCTCACCGCAATTAATGTATTGTTTAGTGTTGTATTGTGTAGTGGCTTTGCTGGCATGCATCAAAACATTATTTTATTTTTTTGCCCCACCAAGATTTACATGCTAAAACCGCCACTGGTATTAATGCCCATGATTTTGGAATGAGATGTTCGACGAGCAGGTGTCCACATACTTTGGGTAATGTAGTGTATTCAGTGGGATACTAAATTATTGACACCCTTGATAAAGATAAGCAATAATGACTGTATAAAATAAATAATTCAAATACTGAGCTATATTGTATGCTCCAAAAAAGGGGGAAATGATATTTTATACTAACAAGTATTTATTTTTGTTTCATAAAAGTAGAGGTCAAAATTATGAACACCCCTAAAGATTCTTATAAATAAAGTAGTCAAAATGTTTAGTATTTGATCCCATATTCCTAGCATGCAATGACTACATCAAGCTTGTGTCTCTACAAACTTTTTGGATGCATTTGCAGTTCATTTTGGTTGTGTTTCAGATTATTTTGTGCCCAACAGAAATTAATGGTAAATTATGTATTGTGCCATTTTGGGGTCACTTTTATTGTAAATAAGAATATAATGTTTCTAAACACTTCTACCTTCATGTGGATGATACCATGATTACGGATAATCCTGAATGAATCGTGAATGAAGCGAGTAAGTTACAGAGGGTCAATGATCATAACCCCAAGACATGCTAATCTCCCCTGTTATTGTTAATGGTAGGAGGTTAGCATGTCTTGGGGGTACGTATGATCTTTGACCCTCTGTAACTTTATTTTTCCAAACATGTCTGTGTCTGGACATGAATTTGATGCTAACAGTTTCCTCCCATTCAGGAGTTTAAACCAAGACATGGGCATCGTCATTAATCAATGCTGCTCCTTATAATCTGTACTTTGTCCACGTTACGAGGCAGACATACAACTCCATATGGAACACACACAGCAGACGTCGACTGCGTCCTAAATGGCACCATATTCCCTAAATAGTGCACTACTTTTGACCAGAGCCCTATAGGCCCTGGTCAAAAGTAGTGCTCTTTATAGGGAATAGTGTGCCATTTGGGAAGAAGCCATTGTAACAATATGTTCTCTAGTAACCCTAGCAGGTTTATGGAAGGCTCTGGCCTAAAGGTGACCTCCACCAGAATCACTCATGTACTTTTAAAGCCATTGAAGAGTCTATGCTCACATTGCTCAGAGAGTCTGGTTTTGTTTCAGCCAATATGAGGAGAAAGCAGAAACGGAGCACCCAGGCTAGCAACTATCTCTTTTATTTCTTTGAAATATTTTATAAAAGCTTTTATGAATAGCTAATTTTGATCCTTTAATAATACCCTGAAGGCGTTGCTTACAAAAATGTGACAGACCTTAAATTCCACTGCAGACAATGGTAAAGTGGTAATACATTTCCTACTCCTTTATTTCCACATAAAAATCCTTGACATACTGTATTTACAAACTCAGAACATAATTTTGTACAAAAGTGATTATTATACCTCTCTCAAGTCCAACCTGGACACACACACTCACATTGAAGAACTCAGCACGTTTCTTCTTTGGTCTCTTCAGGACCATGTCATCATACAAAGGTGTTTCTTGACAGTGGTCAATCAGACCAACCCTCTTCAAAAGCGTCCATGACAGTTTTACTGTAACACCCCACTGGTCCTTCCAGTGTAGGAGGTGCTTGTAAAGGAAGGTGAGGACAGGATAATCCTTTTGGAAAGTTTACGATGGTGTCGATTCCCAAACAACATCAGCATTCACGTTATTTAGCTGTGAACTGATGGGCTCACAGACAGAACAGTCTCAAACCAGACTTGAGCTTTCTTGGTAGAGAGAAACATTGTTGCTGTAGAAGAAGCTCCATTGATTCCTCCTAACACATGACTGTCTCCCATAGTGCAAAACCTTGAAATCAAGTAGTCAGTGACATGTGTAAAGTAGCTCTGTGGACATTGCTTTCCTCATGGCAAAAATACATCATATATTGAATTCAAATTATTATTTCATACCTCAATAATCTTAGAAAACCTTCTCAAAATGAGACAGAAAAAGGAGTTCAAATGTCAGATCTATGTCTGGATACACTGGTCTAGGAATCTATTGAATTAGATGTAAGGCAAACAGTTGATAAGGTGTATGTTTAGCAAACTCATTCTCAGCAAATCTGTGATATAGCAACAAAAAAAGTCTCAATTGCCTCACATTTCCTCACCCCAATTGCTTCGAATGGGTGAAATAAATAGAAAATAACAACCAATGTCCTTCCTCTTTACCACAAGGTGATTGTTAGGGCAAAGTGGAGCGTTGGAGTCTGCGACCACTGTCGGCATGAACCACTCGCTGCACGCCACATGGCAGCCATTACAGCACGGCCAGGTCATGGCAAGACTTGGCACGAACCTTCAGCGCCATCTTCTTGTTGTTCTTGGCCACCAGGCGGTCCAGGAAGCGGCGGGCCTTCTTGGTGAGGCTCTCCTTACGCTTGTAGACGGAGCGCCGGCGCTCGTTGGTCTCCTTGCTGTCTCGCCGCAGGCGGATCTGCCGGACGATGCCCTCGAAGAGCTCGTGAACGTTGTGGTGGAGCGAAGCGGATGTCTCTATGAACTTGCAGTCGAACACCACGGCGCATGCACGGCCCTCTGGGAGAGAGCAGAGCACAGAGAAAGAAAGGGTCAAACGAGAGGTGTTTACGTGTGAGAGGTCGACATTAGATTCATGTCTTGGTCTGACAACTTGGTCTGACAATTTAAAATACATAAAGAAGCCACACCAGGCAACCAATACATGTACCAAAATTGCAGAGGATTATATACACAAAAAGTCAAAGACTTGTTTCCATTGTGGTCCTCTATTGGTAGGCATGTGGCTGCAAGGCTAAACAAGTGACATGGGCACTCTGTGCCATACATTCAATCATACACAATGTCCACATTTAGATATATACAAAACAATCACTGGATCAGGTGAATCTTGTAACATAACTACATTTGATCAATTGCACCAGATTTAGCACAAGCTTATTCTCATCTGCAGAACAGGTTAAATATTAAAACATTGACCAAATCAAAACATTGTTAAATACAGTGTTAGTGTATGAGATGTGTGCTGTAAATCCAACTCTTGGAATGTTAAATGAACAGTCCACAGTATGTCGTGTGGACTGCCAAATTTGATATGTTATCTCTATGTTCTGTAGTTGTAACTTTTGCTTGTTTCTTTGACGAAGAAGTCCACAGAAAATGCAACACGGACTGTTGTATGCCAAACTGTTTCACTCTCTTTTATAAGCAGAGTGCTGCTCATATTGCTTTAAATGGCTGTCATCAAATCACTGTTCAGAAGAAGGTGTGGAGAGATGCTTTAATGATGACATCATTGTCATTAGAATCAACGTTACCTTCTACAGCCACTTCTCTGGAGCGAACCAGGTCACTTTTGTTGCCCACGAGGATGATGGGAATGTTCTCGGCCTGCCGTATGCGCCGCAGCTGGATGCGTAACTCGGAGGCACTCTCGAAGCTGGTGCGGTCCGTGATGGAGTAAACTATGACGTAGGCGTTGCCCACCTGCATACAGTAGTCCTGGACCCACTTCTCATCCTTCTCCTGAGAGACACAAACCAAGACAAATGTTATCCAACAGAGATAAAGTTCAACATTCACCAACAATAGCCATATTTGGGGGCTCGCCAGGATCTGGACTTTGATATAGCATGTGTTCTTTGATGTTATCATTGAAGCCAACTTTGATGTCAAATATGCCCTCATCCATTTAAAAGATTAGTGATGGTCAACATGACGTTTTTACTTCCTTATTTGAAAAGAGTATAAGCTAATTGTGACAGATGGAACCAAGCGGATTTCTATGTATTTATGAATACAGAACTCTGGTTTCCAGGGATGGTCATTGGTCAAACATACAATACATCTATCTGACTTTCTGCCTCTATTGACACTTGGTGCCCTTAAACGCATTCAAACCACTGTCCTTATAGACATCCTTATGTCCTTATATCTCCTCTTACCCGGTACAGACAAATCAACATGCAGCCTGGCCTGCACGCTTCATTCCCCAGCTGTAATCAATACTGGAGTAATTAGGCCCCACAGCCATCAATGTCCCATACAGATGCTTGCCCCATGCCACTGGAGCCATGCACCACTCACTGACTCCAGCACAACCAGGATTCTCCCCACTTTGGCTCAAGTCAATGGGTTACTGCTACAGGCACACAGAGCGAGCACATATTTTTCCACAATGAGGGGTTGCCCTTTAAGTATCATAGTTGTGCTGTTTCAGGCACAAGAGGATTATTTATTTGCTCTACCTCAGTATTTGTGTTCTCTCGAGTGACATCAAGTACACCATGTATCTTGAAGGTAAACAAACTAAATAGATGAAGTTATAGAACTTGCTTTTTCCCATTTTTCTTTTTTAAATTAGTATTTTTCCCACCTTTTTTATTTTGAAAAGCAAAAATATATCGTATTCGCCGCTACTGTGCAATCTATTTTTTGTGACAAAAAAACAGAGGTTTATGGTTATTGTCGGACCTGTTTCTCGTTCTCCCAGGTGTCCATGACGATGAGGATGGTCTCCTCCCCATCCACAGTCATGGTTTTCTCATAGGTGTCCTCTAAACCAACAAACAACAACCAGGAAAGAGATTAGAAAATATGTTATTATTTAATTCTGTACGTTCCTCAATAACGTTGGAAAACATTCTAAAAGGGAGACAGAAAAGGAGTTGAAATAGCTACGTCAGATGATGGATAGCAAGTATAATGTATAAATTGCAACCTAGTTGGCCTGCTACTTTTGGTAAACATTAAAATACAACGGTTACCCAAGTCATGGATTAAGCCTAGTCCTAGACTAAAAATCACTTCAATGGAAATTCTCAGTTGAACATGCTTTTTAGTCCAGGGCTAGGCTTAGTTTGTGTCCGGGAAACCACCCATACACCTTGTTGTAGATAAAGAAAGGATTTAGTATAATTTATGTCACCTCCTTCTACTATATGTCTACAATTGGTTGCAGTCAGCAGGTGTGAAGTCATTTGGAAATATCTCTCTCTATATGAGATATACAGAACCTGTCAAAAGTTTGGACACCTACTCATTCAAGGGTTTTTTCTTTATTTTTACTATTTTCTACATTGTAGAATAATAGTGAAGACATCAAAACTATGAAATAACACATATGGAATCATGTAGTAACCAAAAACGTGTTAAATAAATCAAAATATATGTTATATTTGAGATTCTTCAAAGTAGTTACCCTTTGCCTTGATGACAGCTTTGCACACTCTTAGCATTCTCTCAACCAGCTTCACCTGGAATGCTTTTCCCACATATGCTGAGCACTTGTTGGCTGAGTAGGTGTGTCCAAACTTTTGACTGGTTCTGTATACATGGCCTTGTTATTTGTGAATGGAGATCTAATGGAGACCTAAGGCTTGAAACCACATGGGCGCATATGCATGTATATCAGTGTGCTGAATCTGATTTTTTCTTATGATTAATAATTTATGCAATTTTAAGCTTATCTGTCTTTAGTAACTAAAATATGAAGGTGTTTTGCAAAGTTGGTAAAATATATTTGACATCCAAGAACTCTACCGATATGTTTATCCCTACTACCTATAAAAGGTGCTATGGAGTTATTACACTTCCACTACCATATCATGACTATGGAGTTATTACACTTCCACTACCATATCATGAATATGGAGTTATTACACTTCCACTACCATATCATGACTATGGAGTTATTACACTTCCACTACCATATCATGACTATGGAGTTATTACACTTCCACTACCATATCATGACTATGGAGTATTACACTTCCACTACCATATCATGACTATGGAGTTATTACACTTCCACTACCATATCATGACTATGGAGTTATTACACTTCCACTACCATATCATGACTATGGAGTTATTACACTTCCACTACCATCTCATGACTATGGAGTTATTACACTTCCACTACCATATCATGACTATGGAGTTATTACACTTCCACTACCATATCATGACTATGGAGTTATTACACTTCCACTACCATATCATGACTATGGAGTATTACACTTCCACTACCATATCATGACTATGGAATCTAAGATGTGGAAAAAGCATTGAGCCATGTCTAGTTTAATCTGATGAGATCCTCCTAGCTGTCGTGACAGGGAGACTAAAACACACTTTGGCCAAGAGTGAAAGAGCTTGTTACATTTATTGTAAAAGACGCCGCATTAGACAATGACAAATGGTCCGGCAAAGCCTTTAGAAGTTGAGGTCATTGAGTTGAAGTGACAATATAGGTCAGAACCTGTAAACAAGCAAACAAGTAATATGTCTAGTAATATGCCTACATTGGCACGAGTTGTAATCTCCTCGTAATGCTGTTCTGTCCTCATAAAACACTCGCCATTCATCACACCAGCTCTAAACTAACCAAGGAGTCCACTTGACAGCTCAGTTGCTGCCAGTGTGACAAGCTAAGTGACAAGAAACTAAAAATAACAACAACACCACCAGTCAGTAACAGGCTGAAAACAGATGTCAGAGGGGGTGGGGGTGGGGAGGTGTCATAGGGGAGCCCTTATCTTTCTGAAGAGCTGGGACACACACACACACACACACACACACACACACCACTGCCATGTCAGCAGAGCCTGAACCTAACCTCACCATCCAGCAAAGATAAGCAAGTGAGTGGAGCCCACACATCCACCCCCTCTCTTGCTCACTAGAACAGACAGGGGCAACCCCTCTCTGCTTCTTATTATTCATCTCTGTCCTGTTTGGGATAGCCTCTTTAGGAATGCCATCTCCTTACAATACCTCTCTCCTGTATGAGTTCCCATCCTCTGTCTGGCTGTGTCTGCATATGCTTTGGCATTTGGCAAAATACATGTACAGTACAAAGACTTTGAAAAGGTTTTCCTCTAATCTTTTCGGAAAACACAGGCTTTATCTAACTGAATTATGAAGTTAGGAAAATACATGTCCCCACGTCACCTCAGGAATTCTCTCCAGTCAAATACGCCTAACATCAGAATATTTTAGGCTGCGTTTACACAGGCAGCCCAATTTAAATCTTTTTTTCATGAATTGGTCTTTTGACCAATCAGATTAACTCTGAAAAAGTTCTGATGTGAAAAGATCTGAGGTGATTGGTCAAAAGACCATATATTGTAATTGGGTTGCCTGTGTAAACGCAACCAATGTGACCATATCAGTAACCACAGAGATGCACTGGGCCTAGTCAGTGCATATTCCAATTGCACACATTATAATGATCATGTAATATCTAGCATTTGATGGGGGAACTCCATTCCCAGTTTATCAGAGCGTCTCAAAATGTAGCTCATAGAAAACATCAACAGAGGCTATTCCCTATTTCAGGGATCATCAACTAGATTCAGCCGCGGGCCTATTTTTTCTTGAGCGGATGGTCAGGGGGCCAGAACATAATTACAAATAATTTGTAGACTGCAAATTAACCACAAGAAGCCCAAACATATATAATATTTGAACAAAACATAATAATTTCAAGCCTTGCTTACATTTGTATACGATCACAATTCTCTCTATTATGTGCGGGAATACTTGGAACAGATTTCCAAAATTAAAATCACTTGGAGCTGATTTGCTGGTGTTTTTACAGTCTTTTATGTCGAACAACTTGGGGGGGGGGGGCAAATAACATCACCCGTGGGCTGCGAGTTGGGGAACCCTGCCCTATTTAGTTCACTACTTTTGAACAGGGTCCAAAAGTAGAACACTATGCACTATGTAGGGAATAGGATGCAATTTAGGATGCACAGTTTGAGAAATGACCAAACAGAACAGGGTCCTGGGTGGCGGTGTCAGTCAAACGGTGCCCTGTTCCAGCAGGTCTCCCTGACACACAGCCCTTCTGACAGCTGATGGGTCTCTCCACAACAACATGGCCACTCATAACATTCAGCTAGGCTGTGTCCCAAATGGAACCCTATTCCCTTTATAGTGTACTACTTTTGACCAGAGCCCTATGGTCAAAAAAGTAGTGCACTATAAAGGGAGTATAGGGTGCCATTTGGGATGCATCTTCAGCCAGTCACTCCCGTCCACGGCCATCAGCAATGACTCGACACACACAAGTCACAACAACATGAACCTCAAACGAATGAAGCCACTGTCTGTCTAGGCTACCCTATCAGGCATGACCAAATATTCTTAGCTCTATTATGAAATTGAGAACTATAGAGAAATTGGTATTCTAAAAGGACAACCTCCACAAACCACATCACAACAGCACAGCTGGATTCCCAAATGCATGGGTCAATACAAGCTGCCAATCAATGCTTTGAGGTCACTCACTGCTACATGTGACAGTTACAGGAGTTCCATCAACATAGTTGTGACTGGTTAGCCAAGGTTATCAGGGCTAGGGCAATGTCAGAGACCATTACTGACAGTCATTGTTAAAGAGATGCATAAATTAATTAACTAATTTAATAACCAATTAGTCATTAGTGTCCATGGATTCTAATTAGCAGAAAAGGATGGATGATACTGAATTGTTTTTAGGTTATTGATAAGAGATTGACAAAAAAACATCCCAATAGTTGGTTTGTAGGCCATACACACCATCAATTGCCTTGTAATAATCATAGGAATTGTGCTTAGTAAAAAAACCCCACCTCCTGTATGGTCGTGAGCATCCTTCTCCTGTATGCCAGCAAAGATATTGGCAAGACTCGACTTTCCAACACCGTGGTCTCCTAGCAAAACAACGCGGTACAAACATTCTGCTCCGGAGCCATCCGAGTCATCGTCTGAGTCATCAGAAGACCAATTGGCGCGGCAGTGGAAAGACTTGTCTCCGGGATGGTATGAGGCGGACTGGCAGAGCGGAGGGTGATGGAGGTCGGCTGGCGGGTCTCTGCCTCTCGGCCCCGGCTGATGAGAGGCAGGGATAGGAGTACTTGCCCTTCTCCGCAAAGTCTCTTTGCCCTCTGTCTGGGTATGTGTCATCTTGGCGAAAAGGCAAAGAACATCCCTTAAAAAGAAGAATAGAGTATGCAGCATAATCAGAAGATAAAGTCATAATTTACTATAGGACATAAGAGTTAGTCTAAATAACATAATAAACCCCAATAGTTAAAACTTTATAAACACACTGCTCCCCAATTAAAGCTAAACTGCGAAACAAACAAAAATAGCACATAGCCTAATGGAGTGAAAATAGCACTGAAACATAACATTGTCTTTCATTTACTCACAACTGTAGCCATGAATCTTCTAATTGTGTCCAGTATTCTCCATTGCAGAGCAAAGCACAGGCTACACCATATAGGCTAGTAAAGTTTTCGCGCGTCGGGGAGCCGTGTGTGAGCTGTCATTCTGTTCTTGTAACAAGACAAGCTTCCAATGTTTCAATCAGTTTTGTTACACTTGTATAGAATAGCTGATGGGACATTGCAACAGGAAACACTGGAGTCATGGCAACAGCCTGCAAAGTTCCACAACCCTGTTAAAAATTTAAGAGTTGAATCAGGGGTCGCTCTCTCTTCTTCTACTCCCTCTTTCTCTCTCTTTCCTCTCTCTGTCTCCCTCTCTGTGTCACATACGACACACACACACACACACACACACACACACACACACACGTTCAAAGGTATTCAGAGCCAATGTTTCAGATTACCTTCAGTGATAACATGCACTGAGACGTAGCCATAGTATAGCCTACTTCAAATATTTGGAAAACTCGAAGCACCACTAACTTTGTTAGTCAACAACTAAATAATGTAATAGGGACTGCCGTCGGTAATATAATTTCAATATCCTATTTTTGCTGTCATGAACCAACGTTTTCCTGGAACGCTATTGCACTTCCTGTCAAAAAAGTTGTTGGCTACATGGTGGATTTCATATGTCATATGGCGGATTTCATATGTCACATGGCGTATGTTAATTAGGCCACTTTATTTTTCCACCTATGGATAGATACTCACCCGTGCTGAAAATTCCGCTAAACGCATGTAGGCAATGCGCGCTTCAACACGCTGCGTGTTAAAGACGAGCGGGTCCTCTGATGATGCGCGTGCTTCGAATCAGCCTTCATTTGATTTCCTCATTGCTGCTGCAACTTTTCCCTGTGCGACTTCACTTTAATCTCATTGAAGAACCCACCCCGACTACATGACGTGAAAGTAAGTCACTTCCTGTTCTAAACTGTTAGTATTATTTCTCTTTTACCACAATGTTTACCTCCACAGTGCAGACATACTTAAAAGGTGCCTTTAATGATTAGACATTGTCCACACAGGGCAACCACCGCTTTATATACAAATCTATATCTAGAAAATTACATTTCCTGAAGAAAATGTGGTGCGCTTGCTAGCATGTTTTAAAGTATTTATGGTTGTGAAATAAGTTATAGTAGTGGTAGTGACTGCAGTAGTAATGGTAGTGACTGGTTATAACTGAAAAAGTAGGTAGATGTAAAAATTGATTTATTGGACAGAACATGTAAAATATGGTTTAGTGTCTCTAGCTTGAACAATTCAAGAGTTACTGTTGGTAGGTCATATTATGCTAATATATGCAAATGTATATAGTTATAGTTGATTTTAAAAAAAAAAGGAATTTGAAGTTAGGACAGCCTGAACATGGGAAAGTTGGTTTGGTGTCTCTAGCTTGAACGGTTCAAGAGTTAGTGTTGGTGCCTTTTTTTGCCATTGAAATGCATTGGGAGCTCATTTAAATATTGATATAGTTAAAAAAGTAGAAATGCTATCAGAAATGTTTTCTCAAGCAATCTGAGTTGGGGCAGTCTGGACATTTGGTAGTTGGTTTCATGTTAATAGCTTAAATCGTTTAAGCTCTAGAGTGGGCTAAAGAAATCAAATAATATGAAAGAAATCTAGAGTTGTGCTTTGTCTTCAGCAAGCGCTCCTAAATATGGGGACAGGATGTGTTTTATCCTAACTGCCATGTCTATTAGTACAGTATTCTGTTTAGATTAGTCAAATCAAGCCCCAGTGTTGAACTCTTTATGAAGTACAGAAATATCTTCAAAGTGAGCCCAGTCTCCACTAAAAGCACTTTTAGCAGTATGCTGCATAGTTTGTTTGAGAAAAGCAGTACACACACACACACATCTGTAAATCAGTTGTGTCCTAACACTGTGTGGGCAGAGTTCACACCCCTAGCCACAGACCAGAGCTCTCTACCAGGAAATTGTATTCTCTGAGGCTTGGTTGAATGTTTTCCAACTGAAGAAAATAAGTAATCAAACCAGTCGGCCGTACGATAGCCAGATGAAGGCCTTGCACTGTTTAGAAAGCCAGCTTCTTTCCCACACTTAAGTAAATTACAGTCAGAGACTTCCCAAAACTACAGTTAGAGGGTCTGAGGAGATTTGTAAAGAGGGGTTGGAAGTGGTTACTCTCACTGGGGCATTTACTGTGGAGAGAAAAAGCAAACAGAACATATTCTAAATATTGAACAGGATTTTCTGTGGACCGGCACATTGAAGAATGTGCTAATGGACAATAAATTAGATTAAACTGGCAATTATAGACTATCAATTATAGCTGAATGAAACCACACCAATAAACACATCAGATGCTCATTGGAGAGGTTTTGATACAATTCCATATGATTCCACTGCAAAAAAAAAGGAGAATAAAGAATATGCAAATGATTTGAAACTGAACCAAGGAGGTATATATTAGAAAGGTTCACAAATGTTTATTGGCCCCAGTTGACTGGTATTACAATGCAGATTGGACACTGTAGTAGGAGAAGATGGGCACTCAGTATAACAGAAATCATAGGGTTGTGTCAAGAAGAGCCCAGCAGGTTTAAATGCAGCCAAGCGACACACAAGTCGTGTCTCTCCTAGTCTGTCACACATCTAAATGGGGAGCCACTCCTCACGAGGGATGTTTAAGGTCACGTCCATATCCGGGGTGCATCTGGAATGAACACGACACACATTTAGAACCTTAATGCATACTGAGCACCATTTCCTTATTTACATACTTAGTATACATTTGGAAATGTTAATTGCTTGTGAAGGCATAATGCCATAAGGATGAAAGTATTTTGGTGCCATTACAAAGTGCCCTTCAAAAATGAAATCATGATTAAGTATTGGCTATTCTTGATGGATATTAGATATTTTTAAAACCTACAATACTAATGAACATATAAACATTGCACACAAAATGATACAGTACATGCACATAAAGTGTGTTCTCCAATTTACATCCTATAATAATATAATAAGCCATTTAGCAGACGCTTTTATCCAAAGCGACTTACAGTCATGCGTGCATACATTTTTGTGTATGGGTGGTCCCGGGGATCGAACCCACTACCTTGGCGTTACAAGCGCCGTGCTCTACCAGCTGAGCTACAGAGGACCACGGATCCTATGATAGATGTATTGTAGACCAATTCAATTCTGATGATTAAGACCTACATTTTCCATCCTAAAAATGGCCCATCTGAGTGACAACAAATTAATGGAAAGTAACATCTCCCATTGCCATAAGTAATTGTGAAATACAGAATAAACAAGCTGACAGCCGTTTCCTGTATCATATTACGGAAGGAAAAAAAACATACATATCAAATAAACATACTTTCTCCCCAAAAGTGACTTCAGACAATAGAGTGAGAGAAATCCGTTGTATCTGTATGGACTCGCTATTTACCAGCCCGGAGAATTATGAGTTTGAATCAGTCAGAGTCAATACAGCTAATTCCATATAGAACATCTGCACTTACAGTTCAACTTCATATTTATTGTTCCCTCTCTGAGGCTTAAAACACGTCATTGCTAAAAAGGTGTCTTTGCGAAGTGAGATTCAGGATGTTTACCCAAAACATTGTAATTTCGCAAAACCCTAATTCAACATTAAATCTCCCTTGTATAAAATTTCACGTGAAATTAATGTATTCCCCAGAGGGGAACATTTTATGGTTGAATATTTGATGAGTTGTATGTATGAGGGATTTTCATGGTCTACAGCGTGGAGTGTCATCTTGCTTTGGAACAGGCTGGGGGGAAATTTGAGCACCTTATTAACCTTTAATGTCAGACTGGGATTCTGTGAGCACAGGGCTCTGCTGTGCTTCTTCATTTCCATTTAAGATGGCGCTACAAGTCTGTTTCCAACCCTGGTTAATATTAGATGGTGATACCCCATTACTCTTTCCGAGACATCGATTTTGATGGAACAAGGAAGAGGTTAAATTCCTGCCACATGTCTATTAGTTCTGTCTAGATGGTTTTGTGACACTGATAAGATGTCAGATAGATAAACAAGCCAACAGTTCAGTGGGTATCTACAGTATATGGTTGGTATTATAAAATTGTCATACTCTTTGCCTAGAGTTCTCAATGTACTACTCTTTGGTAATAGTTTCTTTAATAAAAGAAGGCAAGGAAATTAGCATTAGTAATTGTTTTAGTTTTAGAGATGGACATTTCAGAGATGCACTTTAGACAATGTGTCTTGAGGAAAGGTTATTGATGGAGGTTTTAAAGCCCCCCTCAAGAACCTTTTCCAAAGCCAGATTGTCTAAAGTGATCAACCCCATGGCATGGATTGGGGACGGCACAACCTATTAAGAGCAGCAGTGTACAGTAAGGTGCCTTCCATCACCTTGACATACTTATCTGATTTGGGGAAAACGTCTTGGAAGATGTCTTTCGTGATGTTGGTCCGTGATAGTTGCAGTTCCTGGACACTCTGGATCAGCTCTCTGTTCTTATCTTCCAGCTCCGCAATTTCCTGAAACATTGAAAGCATGAGTGAGTGACACAGAAAAGGAAGAAAATAATTACTTTTCAATTACAGTCATTTTCAGATAAAGCCATGATAAAAAAGAAAAATGTTTCATATGTTGATGATGACCTGTATGGAGTTAGAGTGAGTCTGAGTCCATTATGACTTGCTGAAGTATCAAATTGGTAGCAATTTTTGTAATTATTAACCAAACCTTTTTGTGGATTCCAATTTCTTTCTTTATCGTCTGATTATGTGCGGCCATCAGTTTGACCACACAGGGAATATATGAAACATTTTGCTGAAAACAGAGAGAAAGGATTAAAGCCATGCAAATGGTGTCAACATCTACTCCTGCCAATAAAGTTTGACTTTAGCTCATTACACAGATAAGCCTCAGAAATAGCCCTAAGATTATACTTACTGAATGTTTGTATAAAACATTTTAGCGGCAAGTGAGAATCATTCATCCTAAAAAAAACGATAGACCTTTGTATCCTATGTATTATGTTTGTGTCGAATGTGTGATGTTAAATGTTTATTTTTTATTTTTGTATACAGCAGTGCTGTGTGTCCAAGGCAATTTCCCCTGAGGAACAATGAAGTAAATCCTATCCTACCTTAGCTATGACAGAGAGGACTTCCTGCTCTTTTTGTTGGGATCGTCTCTCCAGGTACACCATCTCTGTCTGGCACAGCAAGTTCACGTCCTCATTCTCGTCCTGGAACCACAGGAATGAACGGGACACAGCATATGAGACTACAGCCTCTTGCATTCTATTGGAGGAAGTTGCCATTGAAAGACATGTTGACCTGCTGTGTCTCTTTGAGTTTCTCGATCTCTCTCTTTATCTCGGCAATGCGCAGGGCCTTGACGGGGTACTCTTTGTCCTTGTAGGTCTTCAGGGTGTGGAGCTCCGCCTGGGCGTTCACCAGCTCTGCCTTCACCCCCCTCAGCTGCTCATGGAGACCTGACAAGGTAACACATCAAGGGCTTACACTCAGACACTTCAATCATAAATGAGGGAACGGCCCTGCATGCAAACACACGTCTTCCCTTTGAGTTCCCAAACACCAGTCAACCAGATTGTCCTTGTGCTGTCACACATACAACTATAAACTTTAATATCGACATTCATAGGCACATTTACTGTAAAACAAAACAGTATTCATAATTTACAAGCACACTTGACTTACTGTACTACTATATTTGCTTATGATTTATAATTCTCACTCTGCCATAGGCAACACAATGAATAAAAACGGAACTTGTTGTTGCCTCTGCATTTTACATTATTTATAATATCACCACTTACCCCAAAGTCTGTTCTTTGCAGCAGCCTCAGCGTCCTTGAGCTCTGTCTTGGCCTGCTCAATCTGACTGTGGCTCCAGCTGTTGAAAGCAGCTATCGAACTCTTACAAAGAAATAGGGTAGACTTTTTTTATTCAGGGTACCAATAGTATGCTCCTACATTATGGTACAAATGGTGGTATTGGTTTACTACATTACAAGAGTCTTAGTATGTCTGAACGTCTCAAGGAGAATATCAGGTTCTGAGCTCACACTGTTACAGCTGATGGTGATCTATAGTCTAACTGACTGTTACAGCTGATGGTGATCTATAGCCTAACTGACTGTTACAGCTGATGGTGTCTATAGCCTAACTGACTGTTACAGCTGATGGTGATCTATAGCCTATCTCAGCATTTCCCAAACTCAGTCCCGGGGACCCCAAAGGGTGCACATTTTGGTTTTTGCCCTAGTACTACACAGCTGATTCAAATAATCAAAGCTTGATGATGAGTTGTTTATTTGAATCAGCTGTGTAGTGTTAGGACAAAAACCAAAACGTGCACCCTTTGGGGTCCCGAGGACCAAGTTTGGGAAATGCTGGCCTAACTGACTGTTACAGCTGATGGTGATCTATGTGTTGATACTCTGTACTTCTATCATATATACAGTATACTTATCTATATCTATCATATCTAGAGAATACAGTTACATATGAGTGCAGTAGAATAGACAGTGAGGTGCTTGCCCAATCTATTTGAGTGAGTACTAGGTACTAGGACACAAGTGTGTCCTGTCCTCAATGGAGCAGATATAGAGGAAGAGATTGACATAGATTCTATGTACTCACCCCTAATTTCTCATGCCGGATGAGGAATTCCCTGGCACTGGACACTGACTGTCTGTCTGTGCTGTCTATCTCCCCGGCCATGCGGACATTGCTCTCCTGCAGCAATGCACAGTGCTTCTCCAGCTCCATTAGGGCCTTCTTCCTCGACATGATCAGCAACTGAAAGTGGTTGTTATTTGTTTATTTACATGTAGAATTAAATACCTTTCCTATTTACGCAGTATTGTGTTTTAAGGGTAGATCTTGCGGTCCTCTGTAGCTCAATTGGTAGAGCATGACGCTTGTAACGCCAGGGTAGTGGGTTCAATCCCCGGTACCACCCATACGTAACAATGTATATGCGCACATGACTGTAAGTTGCTTTGGATAAAAGCGTCTGCTAAATGGCATATTATTATTACTTTATAACTTGTCTCTAAATCACAAGTGTTTATGGGTTTTCACACCTCCCTTGTACTTGATTGATCAATTAAGGTCACTGGTTGTCTTAATTGGACACAAATTAAAAGGAAATAACAAAAACTAGCAGAAACTATGCCCTCCATGGAATAAGTTTGACACCACTGGTCTAAATCTATTAATGCTATGGACTATCTCTTATGGCCTGTTACTCCCTCTAGTGGTTGACTGTGGCTATCGACTCAACATGATGACAGGAACGTCTCTACTATTCAATAGCTGAGGATTTTACAGATCACTTTTTAATGTCTTGTGAAATAGGCTATATATACATTCAGTGTTTTGATATTTTCTTGTTTCTTCAAAGTGATGGGGTCCAGTTTCACTCTTTCGTTCCTCCTCCGTCGAGAGAGTCGACCCATAGATGATGCAGTGGACTCTTCATGGCCAGTGTTGAGGCGAGACTTCCCTGTCAAAGGCAAAACAAGAAGTCAACCATTTTAGTTCATTTCCCTTTGACAACTTATGCCTTCTGCATCATATGAAGCTGGATTTTCATTCAGTGAATCTTTTCCTTCTAGCATGTGTCAACCTAGTCTCCCCAGTTTAATATATTTTACATTCAAAGATGAGTTGATAGCTCACCTGGCTTGTCAGTTGTTGGAAAAATGTTATGGGAGGCGGGGGAGGGCCCACTGTCCTCTCTCCCTGTGGCGTGATAACGCTCGCTTGGTGAGCCAGTAGTCTTGTTGGGCAGTGGGGGCAAAATCACCCAGGGAGGGGGCTCTGTCTTGCTCCTGTTGCATCTCTCCCACTTGCTGTAATCCTAAACAGATATTAATACTATTTATTGTGTGTGTGTGTGTGTGTGTGACTTATGTCTGTCTGTCTGCCTCTCTGTCTGTCTATCTATAATTCTGCCTCTATCCACTATATATATATATATATATATATATATATATATATATATATATATATGTGTGTGTGCACATCATCATGACAATGAACTTACCAATTTCTTGAAATCTTCCTTCAGTGACTTGACAAGATGGTTTGGCAGTACATTCATTGCTTTTACATCAATAAATCGTCATAAGTTGATTCCAAAGGTGAACTTGCAGCATAATAACAAGTCATTCTAACTTTTGCAATATAAATACGACTTGCAACCTTGCTAATTTAACTGTGACCTAGCTGCATAATATAGAAGTTACTCCGGAATGTTCTGTAACGCTTCCCTTCGCCATAGCAACCACATCGACGACGAAAAAGACCGCCACCTACTGGAACATGGACGAAGCTATGGACGAAACATTCTGGATTCGAACTTGGGTAACCAAATAGGCTACACTGAGCGCTGGTCCGGGAGATAAACATACCCGTAGCAGGCTATATATTTTGCCGGTATTCCTTTGTAGCTTGCATTTAGTCTACATTCAAGTTCAACCATTTATTTGGATTATAATAAGAGTACATAAAAATGTAGCAAGTTGGTGTGACACAGAGATTTGCACTTCCCTGAAATGACATAACACAATTCTTCCATAATAGGTTTTTTAATGTGATAAAGCATCGCAGATTGTCGGTGCAATCCGTACCCAATATCAGACAAAAGTTGAGTAACAATAAAATTTAAATACAGATTGTATTTTACATTAATTAAAAGCACCACTCTGCAATATATTAAATATGAATGTGCACAATTATATTAATCTATAAAATTATCTGAATATGTGACATTGATTTCTAATACATCGTATTTCATCATAAATAGAGCTGCATTATAATCTTTCACTTTTATATATTTTTTATATTATTATCTGTGAACAAGTATTAGCACACAATTGTGGATAGAAAGATTAGTTAATACAGCTGCAAAATTACAAGTTGTAAAAAGTTTGAGAGAACCTGTTTTTCAGAACAAATACAAAATATACCACAGATAAACCTCAGTTGTGTTATCACAAAATACAAATGACAGTATAAAGTTACACACATCATTTGGTACAATATTTACAGACTGAACAGATTACATTATTGTTGATTTAACCCAAACAATATTCAAGAGGATGACCAGGGCACCATGGTAGCATAATAGGCCTGTAGCTGCAAGATTTTGAGTGAATATGACAAATCCTCTTGAGATTCTTGTTGTGCATATGAAATGGCACCCTCTAGTGTACTACTTATAGGAAATAGGGTGCCATGGGCTCTGGTCAAAAGTAGTGCACTAAATTGGGAATAGTGTGCCATTTCAGATGCAACATTGGTCGTGTCGCTGTGGAATGTTTTCATCTTGACAAGTCGACAGGTTTCGGTGTCTCATCTCCTCTTGCTCTCTTCAGTTCAGACCGTGTTGTTGTTGATGTCCATCCGGCCGACCAGCTCGGTGACCAGCGTCTGCAGGGTTTGCGAGCGCAGCTTGCTGATCTCCAGTACAGCTTCATGGTTGACCGACTCAGTGTCGTCATAGCTCTTGACCACCTTGTTGGTGATGAGAGAGAGGCCAAACACCCTCATGCCACAGTGGGTGGCTACCACCACCTCTGGTGCTGTGCTCATTCCTATGAGGAGAAGAGGAGAGGGGAGAAGATAAGAACACCTACTGCTACTCCTACATACTATAATGCATTAGAGTGGGGACCTACATTTTTATGAAGGAATACAAGTCTAATGCACAAAGCATATCTCAGATGTCTTATAAAATGTTGCCCTAAAATGATCAATCACCAAGCACTTAAATAGATAAATCTACCAAGAGAGCAAAAACAGATCTGGGACCATGCTATAATCTATAATCTATCTGGGAGTGAACAAGTTCTAGTTCTCTTACCCACAGCGTTCACCCCTAGTCTGTGAAGAAGTCTGGCCTCTGCGATGGTCTCGAAGTTGGGCCCTCCCACCATACAGTAAACCCCCTCCTGGACGAACTGAGAGATGCCCATGCTCTTACAGAGGTCAAAGGCTATTTTCCGCAGGTCTTTGTCATACACACCAGACATGGGAGGGAACCGGGGACCAAACCTGGTCAACACAAAACAATATGATGTTCAAATAAGAGAATTGTGATGAATATGAATGTAAATGTTCATCTATGAAGCTGAATAAAGAACATCAAGCAATGATGGGCTCTAATGAAACATGTAGGCTACTGAACCACATCACTAAAGGGTTACACAGCACCAAAGGCTCTGTGGAGTCGTTTCTGGTATTTTGAGGTTGTTTGTGGTAATTAGTTAGTAGGACCCATTATAAAGTGAGAACCCCTGACCTAGACTAGAAGATCTCACTCACTTGTCATCATTGGGTCCGTTGAGGGGATTGAGCCCAGCCAGGCCAGGGAAGTTGATGTGATCTTTGATGATCATGATGTCCCCAACCTGGTAGCTGTCTGCCAGCGAGCCTGCTGCATTGGTCACAATCAGGGTCTCTACCCCCAGGAGCTTAAATACCCGCACAGGAAAGGTAGTCTGAGAGAGAGAGAGAGAGAGAGAGAGAGAGAGAGAGAGAGAGAGAGAGAGAGAGAGAGAGAGAGAGAGAGAGAGAGAGAGAGAGAGAGAGAGAGAGAGAGAGAGAGAGAGAGAGAAAATGATAGGGTTAACCCAAAAGAAGTTGGAACACAACACAGATTCAGTAAGCCTGTAGTGGGACAGAACAACATATTCCTTCAGTAACTGCCTGAGCCCAGAGCCAACTTAACAAAACCTGGAGTTATGCAAGGAAGACAGTAGCAGCATTGGTTGGCACTGCGTTTTTTTAGCGAGTGAATTAGCCATGTGATGCAGGTCAACGTGATCACCCAAATTCAGATGCTGTGACTCATTGGGTGTGTTGTGGAAAATTCAATCCAAAGATTAAGGCAGAGACTATTTCATGATATAATAGAAACCTCTTTAATACAAGCAGCTGCAGGGGAGACCCACCTCTGATTTCAAAGAAGAAATGGTTACATGTCCCTTATATAGTGGGAGGTGATAATACAATCATATTGTTCACACAACAGTTATTTCAATACAATCAACAGTTCCGGAGCACAATGGCCTTGTGTAAGGGTGCAGACATACCATGAGTCTATGAAAGGCATAACATCACAGTCCAACACAGAACATATCCCCAACAGCTCACCCCAAGTTCTGCTACCACAGTTCAATTTCCAAAAAGACAAGGGCTGTAGCTTTCAAATTATATGTCACTTTCTATTTTTCTGGTTGGTGAGATCTGACTGATGCACGGGTGAGAGAGGTGAGGCGGAGGGGCGACGCTTGATTAGTGCATGGTTGAGACGACCAGGGGAGGGCTGAGGGTTGATAAGGAATGAGGAAGTTCCTAATATGGTGTGTTTCTTGGTACTAATATTTGCTCCCTGAGTGGACAGTGACAGCTGTTATTTTTCATCTATTTGTGCCAATGGGGATGTGCATTAACACTATTTTCATTGTTTCTCAATCCACAGTGATCAGTATCGAGAAACAATGAAAAGAGTGTTAACGCCATCCCCATTGGCACAAATAGATGAAAAATAACAGCACCATATTAGGAACTTCCTCATTCCTTATCAACCCTCACTATGGTACTCACTATCGCCATCCCCATACTGACCTTACAGAGTGAGTGTCCCTCATACATGTGGAAACGGCCCTGCATGCAAACACACATCTTCCCTTTCAGCTCCCCAAACACCAGTCTCCCAGCGTGTCCTTGCACTGTGAAGCCACACACACACACACACACACACACACACGCACACACACACACACAAACACAAACACAGTCATTGTCACATAAACAACAGTCCAAAAACACATTTAATGACCCTGTAGTCCCCTGTAGCTCAGTTGGTAGAGCATGGCACTTGCAACGCCAGGGTTGTGGGTTCGTTTCCCACGGGGGGCCAGTATGAAATATGTATGCACTCACTAACTGTAAATTGCTCTGGATAAGAGCATCTGCTAAATGACTAAAATGTAAACGACGCCGTTAAACTTGTTCAATATGCTGACTGTTTAATTTTCATAACAAAGATTCCAAGTTAATGCCATCATGGCCATTGTGGTGTGTTAGGTATATTATGTTGATCATTATTGTATATCTTATTGTAACAATCAATGTATGTTACACAAACTTCTGCCCTTGGTCCATGTGAACATTCCCAGCCCCCATATCTCTTTCTCTCTCTCTCTCCTTTCTTCCTTTATATTAATTTTTTTTCTCACCTGTGCTCTGTGGGAACCCGGGTATGTCGGAGTAAGGGAAGGAGTCCTGGCATTTGAGAGCATCAGCCAGCATGCCCAGTCCAGAGCCACAGATGATGGCCACTTTGGGCCTGTGCTGCGTCTGGGACAGGAGCCAGCTGGCTGTCTTCTGGTAGTCATCATGACTAAGGAAACAGGACGAGGAGAACACTGACTCAGACTGTCTAGCGCGGGCTCTGGGAACAATAACTATCCTGTCATGGACAATACTGTAAGTCGCTTTCGATAAAGGGTCTGCTAAATGGCATATATTATAATAATAATAATATTATTATTATTATTATTATTAACATGGTCCCCTCAGTGACAATTTAGTTCTCACACAGAATCTGACATCTTTTAAGACAACAGGTCTTGTATGTTCCATTGTGAATGTGCATGTGCATGTACAGACTACATGTGATTTTACTTAACATACATCATGTGTGTATAGAACAGGGTTAGGGTCAATTTAAACTGAAAAATTGAAAAGCTTTTGAAATGGAATTTCAATGTACTTCCTGAATTGACTGACTTCATTTCAAATTGAACCCAACCATGGTATAGCATATGCTCAGATACACCTTCAGGATGAGTGAGATGTCCTGTTTTACAGGAATCAGGAATCAGGCAATACTACTCATTATTGCCATAAAAGGGTATTCATCTGTCTGACCTAAGCAGAACGAGAAACAAAATCCATCCTCAGTACTGGTTTGTCTAATAACTGTGAAAGTTGTCAATAAAATGCTGTGGCAAAAGCACAGAATGCATAAAACTAAAGGTGGCATGAAACAACATTAATATTATTACTCTGTACAAAAAAGTTAAGCGAATAACCAACAAGACAAAACAAATCTATTAAGGACAGATAATGTATTCTACTAACATTCAAGTAATGAGGACAACTTGATTTCACACAAAAACAGCTGGCACTTCAATGGTGTCCAGATTGAATCCTACAAAAAATATACACACTGGAAAACTCACCCAAACACCAGTAAAGGAAAAAGCAATGACTTACCAGATCTGATCTTTGCTGTGCATTTTGAAGGTTATGTGGTTGATATACGGTAGGTCTTGAAATAGCAAAAATAAAGCCTGATGTTGATGTTGTTGTATTTGTTATGATGTAGGATTTCCCCCTAGATGATACAACAGAGTACTATAGATCTATACACTACCCTATGGACAGTGGTGTGTGAATGAAGTCACAGTATCTCTGGCTCCAGTTAAATAGACTCTGTGCCGGTTCCAGAGTAGTCACATGGTCCCTGATTGGTTACAACCCTTCCACGGCCAATAGCATTAATAAATAAGACTCTCTAGTAGAGAGGTGTGTCAGGGGTTTGTGTGCATGGGACAAATTGCATTGGAGCTCCACACTGAGTCACTTTGTTTGGATACGCCTCCTGTATAATCCATTTGGCTCAGTTTTCGGTCAAGCCCAATGTAATGTAATTCTGAGTTAAGTTGGATAATGATGGTGAGGCTGTGCACGTTTTGTGTTCCCCTCCTAATCAAATCTTGTAGTGGACCAGCCAAAGTTAGGAACTTTGTTTTTACACTGCTGCTACTCACTGTTTATTATCTATGCATAGTCATTTTACCCCTACCTACATGTACAAATTACCTCGACTAACCTGTACCCCCGCACATTGACTCGGTACCGGTACCCCCTGTATATAGCCACATTATTGTTATTTTATTGTGATACTTTCTTAAATAATTGTTTTATTTATTTTTTAGTTTATTTAGTAAATATTTTCTTAACTCTAATTTCTTAAAACTGCATTGTTGGTAAAGGGCTTTAAGTAAGCATTTCACGGTAAGGTCTACACCTGTTGTATTCAGCGCATGTGACTAATAACATTTGATTTGATTTGATATTTGATTTGAGATATAGGCTTTTGGCATGAACGCATCGGCCATCACCAGCGAGTGAGCTGTGCATCATTGGGTGAGTCAGTGAAACTGGAAAGCATTTTTAGGACTATAAATTCCTCCTCATATTGTAGCCTACAATATATGCGTCTCCACACACACCTAGGCCTAGGCTATTGATGGATTCAAGACAGGGTCGTTTTTATTGATCTCAGATTCTCACTTTGTCAGTGTCAAAGTAGCCTGCATTTCGATAATTTTGGAAATATTTCAAATACAATCGCAGGAAAACACAGGTTGGAAAGCAAATGGCTCCTGCTGAAAAGAGAAGATTCTAATCTGTATGCTGTAGGCTACCAAAATATTTGATCAACTTCCAAATATTGTTTTACAAAGTAAAACAAGAGAGCTATAGGTTTTTGGCATGAACGCATCGGCCATCACCGGCGAGTGAGCTGTGCATCATTGGGTGAGTCAGTGAAACTGGAAAGCATTTTTAGGACTATAATTTCCTCCTCATATTGTAGCCTACAATATATGTGTCTCCACACACACCTAGGCCTAGGCTATTGATGGATTAAAGACATGGTCGTTTTTATCGATCTCAGATTCTCACTTTGTCAGTGTCAAAGTAGCCTGTCATTTTGATAATTTGTGCAGTATTAAAAAAGATTCTGCCAGTCTCCAGTCATGTAAAATTACTTAGAATTGCATGAGATGCATTTATAAAATGACAAATTTTTCCGGGATCCTAGGCTACTAAAAATGTTCCCCATGCATGCAATATCTGTAAGTGCCTCAACTCTACAGCTCTATGCCACTAAGCAAATACGATGATATGCTTGAAATTATTTATTATAAAGGTGGGTTATTTTATGCGTTCCGGTACCTCAGAGCTCCCCATGTCACCCCCCTCTCGAGCTCACTTTTTGTTCAGGCACCTCCCGATTTAAGGACTGGTCTTTACATACACTAAATAATATGTGTGAAATTTGTTTAGATTTAGAATGGGCCATAATCATGCACCTGTAGGAACAGGGGCAGGGTAAAAAAAAGACATGTCATCCATATGCAGTTGAATAGCAAATGGAGGAAGCCAGGTAGGCTACTCTGGTTGTAAAGCAAAGCAATGTGCTTAATATATGGAAAGTTGAGAAATAAATATAGTAGGCCTAGCTGACGGGATCCTCCTCTTTTAATAGAGCATAGCATTGCCTATAGAAATGTTGCGCAACTGCAACACTTATTTTATTCCATGCATCAAACAGCTAAGAGGAGCTGGCTCTTGCTGCGCAGCAGGTGATCGTATTCTGCTCAAACTCTGAATGCCAGGGCTCTCATTAAGTGTTTGATTTTTGATGGCATTTGCATTGATGTCAGAGTGATTAGAGGGACAATAGAGTGCTGAGTACTGGTGATTAGCGTCTGGCCGTTAGCAAGTTTGGTAGGCTACTAATGACCATCAGAGGCATCAGAGACAGTTTTAGAGAAGCCTAGTTACCATGACTCAATGGTCACATGGAATTTGACTGCGGTCATGACTCCTGACTGCCGGTGTGGCGGTAATAGGGTCACGTAACAGCCCTAACCATGACAGTTTACAATCCAGGGTTACTCCAAGCAGTTTAGTCTCCTCAACTTGCTCAATTTCCACATTATTCATTACAATATTTAGTTGAGGTTTAGGGTTTAGTGAATGATTTGTCCCAAATACAATGCTTTTAGTTTTAGAAATATTTAGGACTAACTTATTCCTTGCCACTCATTCTGAAACTAACTGCAGCTCTTTGTTAAGTGCTGCAGTCATTTCAGTCGCTGTAGTACCTGACGTGTATAGTGTTGAGTCATCCGCATACATAGACACACTGGCTTTACTCAAAGCCAGTGGTATGTTGTTAGTAAAGATTGAAAAAAGTAAGGGGCCTACCCTGTGGAATTCCTGATTCTACCTGGATCATGTTGGAGAGGCTTCCATTAAACAGGTAACTCTTTATCCATAATATAGCAGGGGGTGTAAAGCCAGTGGGTAAGCAAGGGGGCCTGACAGATGAATGTGCGTATCAAAATAGAATGTCAATACAAGAGAATGTCAATACACAACACATCACTATATTATTACATATAGTACAGTAAATACAGTGCCTTCAGAAAGTATTCACACCCCTTGACTTTTTCCACATTTTGTTGTGTTACAGCCTGAAATTAAAATGGACTAAATTTAGATTTTGTGTCACTGGCCTACACACAATACCCCATAATGTCAAAGTGGAATTATGTTTTCAGATTTTTTTAAACAAATTAATTAAAAATGAAAATCTGAAATGTATTCAACCCCTGTGTTTAACATGTTTATTTTAATGACTGCCTCATCTCTGTACCCCACACATACAATTATCTGTAAGGTCCCTCAGTCAAGCAGTGAATTTCAAACACAGATTCAACCACAAAGACCAGGGAGGTTTTCCAATGCCTTGCAAAGAAGGGCTACTAGTGGTAGATGGGTAAAAAAAAAGCAGACATTGAATATCCCTTTGAGCATGGTGAAGTTAGTTATTAATTACACTTTGGATGATGTATCAATTCACCCAGTCACTACAAAGATACAGGCGTCCTTCTTAATTCAGTTGTCAGCGAGGAAGGAAACTACTCAGGGATTTTACCATGAGGCCAATGGTGACTTTAAAACAGTTACAGAGTTTAATGGCTGTGATTGGAGAAAACTGAGGATGGATCAACAACATTGTAGTTACTCCACAGTACTAACCTAAATGACAGAGTGAAAAGAAGGAAGCCTGTACAGAATAAAAATATTCCAAAACATGTATCCTGTTTGCAATAAGGCATTAAAGTAAAACTGCACGAAATGTGGCAGAGAAATGAACTTTATGTCCTGAATACAAAGCGTTATGTTTGGGCACATCACTGAGTACCACTTTTCATATTTTCAAGCATGGTGGTGGCTGCATCATGTTATGGGTATGCTGGTCATCTGCAAGGAATAGGGAGTTTTTTTTTGGATAAAAGTTAATGGAATAGAGCTAAGCACAGGCAAAATCCTAGAGGAAAACCTGGTTCAGTCTGCTTTCCAACAGACACTGGAAGACACATTCACCTTTCAGCAGGACAATAACCTACAACACAAGGCCAAATATACACTGGAGTTGCTTACCAAGATGACATTGAGTGGCCTAATTACAGTTTTGACTTAAATTGGCTTGAGAATCTATAGCAAGACTTGAAAATGACTGTCTAGCAATGATCACAAACAACTTGACAGAGCTTGAATAATTTGTTAAAGAATAATGTGCAAATATTGTACAATCCAGGTGTGGTAAGCTCTTAAAGACTTACCCAGAATGACTTACAGTTGTAATCACTGCCAAAGGTGATTCTAACATGTATTTACTCAGGGGAGTGAATAATTGTGTAAAATAGATATTTACTGTAGATATCTAATCAATTTAATCAATTTTGAATTCAGGCTGTAACACAACAAAATGTGGAATAAGTCAAGTGGTATGAAAACTTTCTGAAGGCTCTGTACAATAGAAATAATGTGAGAATCTGAAAATTTGACAAAAGCTTGTATGCAAACATAACCTACATACAGTGGGGGAAAAAAGTATTTAGTCAGCCACCAATTGTGCAAGTTCTCCCACTTAAAAAGATGAGAGAGGCCTTTAATTTTCATCATAGGTACACGTCAACTATGACAGACAAAATGAGAAAAAAAAATCCAGAAAATCACATTGTAGGATTTTTTATGATTTTATTTGCAAATTATGGTGGAAAATAAGTATTTGGTCAATAACAAAGTTTCTCAATACTTTGTTATATACCCTTTGTTGGCAATGACACAGTCAAACGTTTTCTGTAAGTCTTCACAAGGTTTTCACACACTATTTTGGCCCATTCCTCCATGCAGATCTCCTCTAGAGCAGTGATGTTTTGGGGCTGTCGCTGGGCAACACGGCCTTTCAACTCCCTCAAAGATTTTCTATGGGGTTGAGATCTGGAGACTGGCTAGGCCACTCCAGGACCTTGAAATGCTTCTTACGAAGCCACTCCTTCGTTGCCCGGGCGGTGTGTTTGGGATCATTGTCATGCTGAAAGACCCAGCCACGTTTCATCTTCAATGCCCTTGCTGATGGAAGGAGGTTTTCACTCAAAATCTCACGATACATGGCCCCATTCATTCTTTCCTTTACACGGATCAGTCGTCCTGGTCCCTTTGCAGAAAAACAGCCCCAAAGCATGGTGTTTACACCCCCATGCTTCACAGTAGGTATGGTGTTCTTTGGATGCAACTCAGCATTCTTTGTCCTCCAAACACGACGAGTTGAGTTTTTACCAAAAAGTTCTATTTTGGTTTCATCTGACCATATGACATTCTCCCAATCCTCTTCTGGATCATCCAAATGCACTCTAGCAAACTTCAGACGGGCCTGGACATGTACTGGCTTAAGCAGGGGGACACGTCTGGAACTGCAGGATTTGAGTCCCTGGCGGCGTAGTGTGTTACTGATGGTAGGCTTTGTTACTTTGGTCCCAGCTCTCTGCAGGTCATTCACTAGGTCCCCCTGTGTGGTTCTGGGATTTTTGCTCACCGTTCTTGTGATCATTTTGACCCCATGGGTGAGATCTTGCGTGGAGCCCCAGATCGAGGGAGATTATCAGTGGACTTTTATGTCTTCCATTTCCTAATAATTGCTCCCACAGTTGATTTCTTCAAACCAAGCTGCTCACCTATTGCAGATTCAGTCTTCCCAGCCTGGTGCAGGTCTACAATTTTGTTTCTGGTGTCCTTTGACAGCTCTTTGGTCTTGGCCATAGTGGAGTTTGGAGTGTGACTGTTTGAGGTTGTGGACAGGTGTCTTTTATACTGATAACAAGTTCAAACAGGTGCTATTAATACAGGTAACGAGTGGAGGACAGAGGAGCCTCTTAAAGAAGAAGTTACAGGTCTGTGAGAGCCAGAAATCTTGCTTGTTTGTAGGTGACCAAATACTTATTTTCCACCATAATCTGCAAATAATTCATTAAAAATCCTACAGTGTGATTTTCTGGATTTTTTTTTTCTTAATTTGTCTGTCATAGTTGACGTGTAACTATGATGAAAATTACAGGCCTCTCTCATCTTTTTAAGTGGGAGAACTTGCACAATTGGTGGCTGACTAAATACTTTTTTTCCCCACTGTACGTAGACGATTGCATTGTCATTCCATAGTCTATGGTCATTTGTCGTCATTGTTTATGTTTTTGACAATACACCCAAGTTTTTATTGACTGAATTAATCTGGCCTAAATCAATAAAAATTGCCATTATGCCCATTTTCACCATATTTTACCTTTGGCCCCTTGAAAATGGCATTGATTTTGGTGGTATTATTCTGATTGGATTTCTTAAAATCATTGTTCTTACAACTGAGAGAGTTTCGTAACCGTTAATAGCTGCTCCACCACCACACATTCAATGGTCACTACAGTCTTGCTTAGAGAAAATGAACAACTTTTGATCCAAGTGTAAATTGGAGCTGGACGTTGGCCCATCAGCAGAGAACCCACTTTGCTGCACCATGAGGTCTCCAATTGATGCTGCCGCCTGGTTGGCCAGGCAGGCCGGCCGGGTCCAGATTAGTTCTGACAGACACAGTGAGGAGGACCAGGCAGGTCAGCATGTGAGGCCCATTACTCTTCTGCATGCTGGACTCCTCCCCTAATCCAAAGCATGGGACCGCAGCAATTTAATTTGAGTACCTCACAAGATCCCAAAAATTACCAATCATTTCCCCCTTTTAGATGCACAACTATAGCCTTGTGTGATATATTAGATTGAAAATAAAGCTCTATACAGTATGTTCGATTCTATATATAGTTTTGTGATTTTTTTAAAATTGAAATCCCAGCAAACTGATGATGTAATATGTGAGGAACAAGGGAGGGTCTAAAATTAGATCACATGACATGATTATGTAACTCATATTGATTCTTTCAACACCACTATGTACCAGTAAAAAATAGTTGTGGCATTATATGATGAAAGTAAGGCTGGAATTCAATCGACGCTACCCTAATAATAGTTTGGCAGCTAAGCATAATAATAGTTCAGTTTGTGATACAAGCACCATTTGACACAGATGTAGATTCCTGTATAAATAACAGATTTAGATATTGGGCCATCACATTTGCCCTCTGGGAGCCATTGCAGTCATCTTCCAAAATGGCCTCTGATAGGCGAGCCCAAAAAACATATTGTCCCTTGTTTTGGGCCCGCATATCAGGACATTTTCGGAGAAGTCGTTCATGTCAGTCGTGTGCTGTTTACTCCTGTATCAAGGTTAATGCCAAGCTGTTCTTTCCATGGATGTGTTTTTTATTAATTCAACCTTTATTTTGAAATATGGGTGCCAAACCCCCCAGGGGTCAAATCTGTGGTGGCCCCATATCTAAATCTACCTCTGAGGGGAGTCAGCCTGATACCGAAAATGATTTTATGGGCCATGGGAAGAAGAGCTTCTGCATACAGGTCAACCACAACCATAACTCTAACCCTAGCTTCATGTCCACATCCCGATTCAACCCCAACCCTAACCCCCCGCAAATAGGGCTCCTCCACCTTCAAATGTTCAATTTAACCACTGAGGGTTACGGTAAGTGTTAGGGTTGTGGTTGAGGGTGTGGGTTGAACCTGGATGTGGACATGAAGCTAGTGTTAGGGCTAGCGTAAGGGATAGTGGACATGCCAATGTTTTTTCTTTTTCTTCTATATAGTTGAAAGGTTGTTGACAGTTAGTTGAACATTTACCGAATATCTACAACCCATCTATTTTGGTCTATCCAAATAAAGTAATACTGAAAATGATACTGTAACTGGACACCCTCCCAGAGTGAGAAAGAGCATGATACTCCCATTATGATTATACAGGAGTTACACCACACCAAATCTACACCATATCAGTTACAACATTGGGTTCCAAAAGGGTTCTTCGGCTGTCCCTTGGCTGAGAGAACTTCCTTTGAGAAACTCTGCTCTGAATCCAAACATTACAGGCAGGGAAAGCTTTCTCATTATTCATGCATGCGCACACAGACTCAGGAGAGTCTGAATACAAGATGTGTCTCTGCCTGCCTTCAGTCATCAGAATGCTTTAAAGGCTTATTTCTTCCCCTATTTGAAAATCTGCCAAACATTCACTTGTTCATCCCTGCACCGCTTCCCTCCCTCCCTCCCTCCTTTCCTGCCGCCTCCCTGAGCAGAGCACGATTCCAGCTCTCTCTCTCTCTCTCTCTCTCTCTCTCTCTCTCTCTCTCCTCTCTCTCTCTCTTCTCTCTCTCTCTTCTCTCTCTCTCTCTCCTTCCTCTCGTCTCTCTCTCTCTCTCTCTTCTCGGTCTCCTCTCTCTCTCTCCTCTCTCTCTCTCTCTCTCTCTCTCTCTCTCTCTCTCTCTCTCTCCTCTCTCTCTCTCTCTCTCTCCTCTCTGGTTTATTGTCCTTACAGGAGACTGTACACGGCCGTGTGTGTATGTCTGCCTGTATGTGTGCATCAATGCCTGTGTGTGTGTGCATGTGTGTGAGAGTGTAAACCCACACTCCACACGAGCTGGGTCAACTCTAAACAAGGTAATGTGAAGGAAAGGCTATAGGAGTCAAGGGTTTTAATGAGCGGGGCATGCCTGGCACTTGAGGAGCTTTAATCTGGTTATGAAACAGCAGCTGGTAAGGTAGCTGGTCTGTCTTCCTCTCTCTATTGGGCTCTGGCTTGGGAGTAATCTGCAGCATATGAGGCCTATGTGACTGGGGCTGCGATCACTCACTGGGCGGCAGTGGTTCAACCCACCCACTCACCAGTCTAGCAATGTGATGCCTTCATAAATGTCAATATTGGAAGACATACAAAAGAGGAAGTAGTTTTACAAGGCAGATAGGGGATGGGAATGATCAATTCATTATTATTTCAGAATAAGAGCGATAATTAAACTATGTTTACACCGGCCTCCCAGTAGCCAGTCTAGGAAGTCTACCCTATGAAAACTAAGTCTAGGAAGTTTACCATATGGAAGCCTTATGAAAACAAAGTCTAGGAAGTCTACCCTATGAAAACTAAGTCTAGGAAGTTTACCCTATGGAAACCCTATGAAAACTAACAGGTCCATGCCTAAGGGTTAATGGCATCTGGATGGTTCGAAATAATACAGGGCAAGAAATATCTTAGTATAGCCCACCACTGCCTTCCTTATCGTAGTCTACGTAGGCTACATTCCTCATAAGTAAATAGAGGGACTGTGTGTGCCTCCTGAGACGCTCCTGAAAGGTGGCAAGCATTTATTTTGCTGGGGCAAGGTAGTTCATGTGCCTAACAATACCGGCTGTATGGGAGAATGACCGTGGTCATGGGGAGGGTTAATTGAAGAGTTGCTGCATGTGCTGCTGAGCAGCGTGTGACTGACCTGACTGACTTCTCCAACATTGTCTGTCTGTCCGCCCATCCGTCTGTTCTATATGGGCGCCTGTCTGTCTGTTTCCATTAGCTATCACAGTTTAACCCCAAAAACTCAGTGTATGAAATTACAATGTGTCATCGTGTGTCATTGTGTAGTAAAATGCAATTGACTATTCCTGTTCTCGGACCATAATAATAGCGGACGCAGAGAAGAAGTCAAGGTTAGGAGCAGTGAGGATAAACCAATCCAATACAAGTGGTACAATGAACATAACTACCACTAATACATATTCATAATATCTTGTTTCCAAACTTTTAACTCATTTTATGATGGTATTGTCTTATTGACTTACAGTATGTTGTTGTGCCCACAAACAAGTCTTGGCTCTGTAGGGATGTGAGGGGCTTTCTGTGGCATTGTCTGTGTCTGTCTGTCTGTCTGTCTGTCTGTCTGTCTGTCTGTCTGTCTGTCTGTGTCTTAACCACCTGACCCTAATCTTTATGAACACACAGGGAGGAGGAGTAGCCATATACAACTTGCCACGCAACTGGATGTGGAGCGGCAAGGACAGCCAAGGTAAAGGCAGGCAAGCCAGCAATAGACAATATACAAACAGAATACAGACAGTCCCGGCCTCCAGAGTGGCACAGCGGTCTAAGGCCCTGCATCGCAGTGCTTGAGGCGTCACTACAGACCCGGATTCGATCCCAGGCTGTGTCACAGCCGGCTGTGACCGGGAGACCCATGAGGCGGCATGATTTCCATGTGTTTGATGCCATTCCATTTGCTCCGTTCCAGCCATTATTATGAGCCATCCTCCCCTCAGCAGCCTCCTGTGGTGCAGATTAGTACTCGAGGTCATTGATGACAAGGTGCAGTAATCGGCCCAATGCAAAGTCACTTAATCCCTGGCCGGTTGATGAGGGCCACAGCATGTGGGAAGAAACTGTTCAGGTAGCGGGCGGTTTTGGTTTTGATTAACCTAAACCGTCTGCCAGAGCGGAGTCTTTGAAATATGGGGTGTCCGGGGTGGGCAAGGTCGGCGATGATCTTACCTGCACACTTCCTTGTCATGGAGACATGCAGGTCCTTGATGGAGGGCAGGTGACAGCCGATGACCTTCTCCGCAGACCGGATGATGAGCTGCAGTTTGCCCTTGCAGCAGGTAGACTCAGACCCAAACCAGACGGTGATAGAAGAGGTAAGGATGGACTCAATGATGGATGTGTAGAACCGAACAAGAATTGTCAGAGAGAGTTTGAGTTTCCTCAGCTGGTGCAGATAGTACATCCTCTGTCGAGCCTTCTTGGTGACCGCTGTGATGTTGTCCTCCCACTTGAGGTTGTGGGAAATGATGCTCCCCAGGAATTTGAATGACTTGGCCGTGCTGATGGCTGAGCCATCAATCTCGAGGGGGAGAGATGGTAGGGGGAATTTCCTGTAGTCAACCACCATCTCCACGGTTTTGACTGTGTTGAGTTCCAGGTTGTTGCGACAGCACCAGGCGGTCAACATTTCCACGGTACTTTAACTCATCGTCATTGAGCAAGGTAGTTAACCACTAACAACTGTGCTGTGGACGTCGATTAACACAGCCCCCCGCACCTCTCTAATTCAGAGGGGTTGGGTTAAATCCGTAAGACACATTTCAGTTGTGCAACTGACTAGCTATCCCCTTTCCCTTCCTTTTGGTGTAGTGATGGGGGAGAGCACGCAATATCATACACACACAATTAAGCAGATCGAGGTAATTCCAGGAGATGGTCAGTGGAGAAAAATGCTGTATAATGAGTGGGAGCCGGCACCAAGTAGAACTGACAGGGTTGTTGTAAATGCTAAAAAGTGTTCTAAGATGTTATAAAGGAAATAGAGCTCACACACTCATAACCTCCACCACCTACCTTTATTCACAGACAAACAATGTTTCGATCCTGCACCTAATGAGTGTGCACGCTCTATTTCTTATTTTTTTGGGCCCTGCACCCCACTAAAGGATGTTCATTTGATCACACTTGACATCATGTTATAGGGAACATCTACAACCCATGGGACATGCTATTCAATTGACAGAAATGACACAACCATGCAACCCTGAACACACCCCAGGTAGAAGGCAGGGCCAGGGAGTTGGCTTGGTTAGGAGCAGACAGAAGGCCCACCAGTCTGTCCCAGGCCAGTCGTTGGCCTAGTCAGTTGGCAGCCTCACCAAGCTGCCTGAATGACAATTGGCACTAATTGGTAACTTGCCTGTCAGTCTCTCCACTGGGGGTCCAGATGAATAGGGGGGAGAATGAAGGTGGAGAATCCATTTGCACATGCTTATGTATGTATGTCCTGTCCACACAGAAGCTGACACACACACACACACACACACACACACACACACACACACAAGCTTTCAGACACATCTGTCATGTACCCCTGTGACCATGCACCATATGTGACCCGTATTGTACTTTTTAGTGTTTTCACATACAGTAACCTAACCGAACAAGATAAAACAAACATCTACCATGCAGTATAAAACTACCTCATTTTGCTGACCTGAGATCCTCACGAATCTAGACTATTTCATTCAGTCTACTAGGGTTTAATCACGAGCGGCCACCACGGAGACATATAGGGATTTTGTTTTTTGGTATTTGACTGGGCTGATTACGACCTGATGCTCTGTTTTGGTATCACTCAGCGATGGGTAACACTAAGCCCTTGTTTATTCCCTGTGAGTTGTACAGCCCGAACTAGTCTGCAGATTATTCCAGATTAGCACTGCTGTCGGACACCCTGAGGGTAATCCCTTGCTGTATACTGGACGAAACATACACACGCACGCACGCACGCACGCACGCACGCACACACGCACACACGCACACACGCACACACGCACACACGCACACACGCACACACACACACACACACACACACACACACACACCACACACACACACACACACACACACACAGACAGACAGACAGACAGACAGACAGACAGACAGGGAGCAGACAGGACACAGGCGCCTGGGGGGAAGGCTGGGCTAGGCTACAGTAGGCTGGGCTGGCCTGGCACCCTCTCTCTGCCCTGTCCTTGGGCTTGTCATAGCTAGCAGAACACCAAGCTGACCTCATTGGCATGGTAACTCCGCCATACTCTTCTTAACCAGGAGACAGGCCCAGAGACCCACTCTGATCCAGCTCTAATCTAGATAAAGCCCCATTAGTCTAGCAGGGCTCGGGAGGTGCCAGGGTGATCCGCAGCGTCTTTCACATAACACCTAGATTCACCCCGTCTCACCTCATCCGCTTCCTTGTTTGACAGGGCTGCTTCTCTGACTGTGCGAGTGGAGTGCCCTCTCAGGGGAGATCCCGGTCTGACACATTCAGCCCGGCCCACTTCCTCACACCTTCCATCTCTTCTTCCTTTGATTGGAGCTAAAACACCAGCCAGGTTAACAACCGAGCCCCAGAGCAAACACATGCTCTTCTTCAATGCCACACACCTCTACACACAACTCCACAAAACTCTCCTGGAATTATTCTCTCTTTTCTTTCTTTATATTTTCATTTATCATGACATGTTGAATTCAATTTAAAGTGGTGGTGTTGGTGGTGGTGATGGTGATGATGACGATGGTGATAATGAAAATCTGAAGAGGAGGAAGATTTGTTCTTACACTTCAACAGTCATATTAAGTGGTTGTTACTGTAATCAGCTACTGTAAATTAACAACCATCCAAATGTACCATTAAATGTTGATGCTTAAATCCAGACAGGAACTAATGCCCAGAGTTTGCATAAAACCCCCTAGTGTATCTTTGCATGTTATAACCACATCCTAATGTAGTGGTGCCACATACTGTAGCATACCTGCCAATAGGGTCCTTCTGAAAGATTAATTTGTTGTTTTCCTCTCCTCTTGTCTTGGTTGTATTGTGTAACATTTGACTCTAAAAATGTCAGACAGGATTAGGGCAGCCGTAGTGAGGGCCTGCTGCCTGTGTTTGATAATGGGCACCCTGCTGGGGCCCGGGCTAGGGGGTCACACTCGACTTCACTCGCAGTGGGGGTCGGCACGCTGTCACTCTGAGATATGGAGACATTTCCCCATTTATTCATGTAGAGCCCTGGGCCAGAGAGGAGAGAGCAGGAGAGCAGGTTCGCAGAGAAGGAGGAGGTCTAATGTCTCTTTAACGTAAAGTGGACACAGAAAAACGCTCTCTGAGTTCGATAGGGAGGGATGTGGGGTGGTAATGGGGACTCGTGAGGGTTGGGTACCTGAGGTGTGAGGTGGTGTCGTGACTGTCTGGCAACAACATCAACAAAACAAGGGATGTGCATTGTGATTCCCTGCGATAATGTTAACCTAGTACCTGCTAGTATTGCTGGTAGTATAGCTTAATCCTTATCACAGTGGGCTGGGTGGGCCCTGGATATATAATTTGCGTCTCTGGGAGCTTCTGAATGAGCACCAGTTTCTGAATGAGCTGTTTATACATTGACATACAGTGAGGGAAAAAAGTATTTGATCCCCTGCTGATTTTGTATGTTTGCCCACTGACAAAGACATGATCAGTCTATAATTTTAATGGTAGGGTTATTTCAACAGTGAGAGACAGAATAACAACAACAAAATCCAGAAAAACACGTAAAAAATGTTATGAATTGATTTGCATTTTAATGAGGGAAATAAGTATTTGACCCCTCTGAAAAACATGACTTAGTACTTGGTGGCAAAACCCTTGTTGGCAATCACAGAGGTCAGATGTTTCTTGTAGTTGGCCACCAGGTTTGCACACATCTCAGGAGGGATTTTGTCCCACTTCTCTTTGCAGATCTTCTCCAAGTCATTAAGGTTTCAAGGCTGACGTTTGGCAACTCGAACCTTCAGCTCCCTCCACAGATTTTCTATGGGATTAAGGTCTGGAGACTGGCTAGGCCACTCCAGGACCTTAATGTGCTTCTTCTTGAGCCACTCCTTTGTTGCCTTGACCGTGTGTTTTGGGTCATTGTCATGCTGGAATACCCATCCACGACCCATTTTCAATGCCCTGGCTGAGGGAAGGAGGTTCTCACCCAAGATTTGATGGTACATGACCCCGTCCATCGTCCCTTTGATGCGGTGCAGTTGTCCTGTCCCCTTAGCAGAAAACCCCCACCAAAGCATAATGTTTCCACCTCCATGTTTGACGGTGGGGATGATGTTCTTGGGGTCATAGGCAGCATTCCTCCTCCTCCAAACACGGAGAGTTGAGTTGATGCCAAAGAGCTCGATTTTGGTCTAATCTGACCACAACACTTTCACCCAGTTCTCCTCTGAATCATTCAGATGTTCATTGGCAAACTTCAGACGGGCCTGTATATGTGCTTTCTTGAGCAGGGGGACCTTGCGGGCGCTGCAGGATTTCAGTCCTTCACGGCGTAGTGTGTTACCAATTGTTTTCTTGGTGACTATGGTCCCAGCTGCCTTGAGATCATTGACAAGATCCTCCCGTGTAGTTCTGGGCTGATTCCTCACCGTTCTCATGATCATTGCAACTCCACGAGGTGAGATCTTGCATGGAGTCCCAGGCCGAGGGAGATTGACAGTTATTTTGTGTTTCTTCCATTTGCGAATAATCGCACCAACTGTTGTCACCTTCTCACCAAGCTGCTTGGCGATGGTCTTGTAGCCCATTCCAGCCTTGTGTAGGTCTACAATCTTGTCCCTGACATCCTTGGAGAGCTCTTTGGTCTTGGCCATGGTGGAGAGTTTGGAATCTGATTGATTGATTGCTTCTGTGGACAGGTGTCTTTTATACAGGTAACAAGCTGAGATTAGGAGCACTCCCTTTAAGAGTGTGCTCCTAATCTCAGCTCATTACCTGTATAAAAGACACCTGGGAGCCAGAAATCTTTCTGATTGAGAGGGGGTGAAATACTTATTTCCTTCATTAAAATGCAAATCAATTTAAAACATCTTTGACATGCGTTTTTCTGGATTTTTTTGTTGTTATTTTGTCTCTCAATGTTCAAATAAACCTACCATTAAAATTATAGACTGATCATTTCTTTGTCAGTGGGCAAACATACAAAATCAGCAGGGGCTCAAATACTTTTTTCCCTCACTGTAGATTGTCAAATCAAATTAAACTTTAGTAGAGGGTATAGAAAAAAAGGAGACAATGAAGGTGGGGATGGAGGTCCATTGACAGGAATCACTCCACCTACAGTAAGAGTTGAAATGGAAACATATTCCACCAACTGACCCTTCGCTAAGCCCCGCCCCCCTTGGTTATTGTTGCAATCTCTGACAACATTTTCCTGGGAAGCCCAATTCTCCATTCAACCACTGGCGAAATCCCCTCACAATGATCTCAAACTGTGTTTCTAATACACAATTAAATGAAATACAGACTACCCCTTGCTAATAAGGAAACGTAGGTATGTTGTGGTGGACTGTCATTACATTTGCTTCACGGTAAAATAATTTTTGTAGTGCAGCTAGCCACTGAATGGTTCAGAATTTACTGTCACCAAACAATGTAACAAAAGTATAACTTCTGATTCTAAAAGTTCTTCATCAACAAGCTCTACATTTCAGGAATCACAGTAGCAAGTACTCCTGGTGCACTAGCCATTTAAACATGTATTTATTTTATGAAGAATACATAGCCCACACTGGCTTTCATGCGATTTAAACGTGAGCTTGTTCAACAGTTGCTATCCATTGGAGCGCTGCGATTGGTTGCCCAAAATTATGGGGCGGGGCATAGCTTAGGGTCAATTGTCCTCAAAACCCATGTTTGTTCCTTTGAGTTGAATCCCTTCAAGAGGGAAGAAAGCACATAAACTTATTTCTGCATGATATCGTTATTCTTCTCGCTGCATTGAAGTTGACTGCGCACTGTAAATGAAAGGGTTCACCAACAGGTCAGTCAGAGGTAGAAGGCGGTGGGGGAGGGCGTTCCACTCACACTCTTTACACAGTGCATCATCAAACATGAACACACGGCATCTCTCACAGCAACACAAACAGTGTGGAACAGCCATGTTACAGCCTAACTTCCTGGGGCATTGGCAGTGGCCTGGTGGGTTGTGGGTAGTGGATGAGATAAGAGGAAGGGCCGCCTGGGGGCAACAACAACAGCACTACCACTGTCCAGGGGAAACCTGGGATAGAGGAGGACCCAAACTGGGTTCTAACCTCGCTACTTCCTCTTCTGCTGGGGGCTGTACTGCAATGCCGCTGTGGTTTAAATAATGAGCTGGCCAAAGTGGTGCAAACAAACCTAACACACTATAGGCCTATATTTCCCACTGCCTGGTGAATGTGACTTGTTTGGATTTTTCTTCAGCATTTTTCTGTTTTGGACTTTTAAGCATTGTTTATACCTGGCGCTAACATTCTGATTGTGCCCAAATTTTCAGACATGCTTCTACACATGGTATTAAAATACGTCTCTTATCCATCCACTGTGTCTGTACTGTGACATTTTACATTTTAGTCATTTAGCAGACGCTCTTATCTTAGACGCATACATTTTTTCATACGTTTTTTTTCATACTGGCCCCCCGTGGGAAACGAGCCCACAACCCTGGCGTTGCAAGTGCCATGCTCTACCAGCTGAGCAAATATTTGACAGGTATTCTTTCAAAATAATATTTATTTATTTATTTAAAGACCTATTTTGATGCCATAAGTCAATGGTGCCACCTGTCAATTATTTTAGAGGGCTGGATAATGATGATTTAAATGGTTTCACTGTCCAGATCTGTCTACACTCGTAAGATATCCAGACACAATGTGTGCCTGACTACCTCCCGAGGTGGTCAGGAAGATCTGATCACGATCAGATCCCAATGCATATTTTAATCGTCTACACCTGTCTAAAAATATGGCCAGTATCAGATTGTGGACAAGATCAGGACAAAGGACGCATGTTAGCACCAGGTATAAACTGGACTTTAGAGTATTTGTTTCTGTTACTCAGGTTTCCTTTCTTTCTTTCTCTTTCTCTTTTTCCATTTCCCGGTCTGGACATAGCTTCACTTCCATCTTTCTTTATGTCTTGCTAGATCTCACTGATAATCAGTTATTTTCTCCTTCTCAGCATGTTTGTAGCATTTCTACCACTCATTGTGACAACACACACATCTTAGAAAAAACACATATGCAAACTTGCCTTTGTATCAGCCTCTGTAGCTACCTCTCAATCAGTCTCTGTATAAGCCTATTTACCTCTGTATCATCCTCTGTAGAGCTGTCTCTGTGTCTGTCCCTGTATATCTGCTTCTGTGGCTGCCTCTGTATGTACAGTGCCTTCAGAAAGTATTCATACACCTTGACTTATTACATATTTTATTATGTTACAGCCTGATTTCTAAATGAAATATACAGTGGGGAAAAAAAGTATTTTGTCAGCCACCAATGGTGCAAGTTCTCCCACTTAAAAAGATGAGTGAGGCCTGTAATTTCATCATAGGTACACGTCAACTATGACAGACAAATTGAGAAAAAAAATTCTCCAGAAAATCACATTGTAGGATTTTTAATTAATTAATTTGCAAATTATGGTGGAAAATAAGTATTTGGTCACCTACAAACAAGCAAGATTTCTGGCTCTCACAGACCTGTAACTTCTTCTTTAAGAGGCTCCTCTGTCCTCCACTCGTTACCTGTATTAATGGCACCTGTTTGAACTTGTTATCAGTATAAAAGACACCTGTCCACAACCTCAAACAGTCACACTCCAAACTCCACTATGGCCAAGACCAAAGAGCTGTCAAAGGACACCAGAAACAAAATTGTAGACCTGCACCAGGCTGGGAAGACTGAATCTGCAATAGGTAAGCAGCTTGGTTTGAAGAAATCAACTGTGGGAGCAATTATTAGGAAATGGAAGACATACAAGACCACTGATAATCTCCCTCGATCTGGGGCTCCACGCAAGATCTCACGCCGTGGGGTCAAAATGATCACAAGAACGGTGAGCAAAAATCCCAGAACCACACGGGGGGACCTAGTGAATGACCTGCAGAGAGCTGGGACCAAAGTAGCAAAGCCTACCATCAGTAACACACTACGCCGCCAGGGACTCAAATCCTGCAGTGCCAGACGTGTCCCCCTGCTTAAGCCAGTACATGTCCAGGCCCATCTGAAGTTTGCTAGAGTGCACTTGGATGAACCAGAAGAGGATTGGGAGAATGTCATATGGTCAGATGAAACCAAAATATAACTTTTGGGTAAAAACTCAACTCGTCGTGTTTGGAGGACAAAGAATGCTGAGTTGCATCCAAAGAACACCATACCTACTGTGAAGCATGGGGGTGGAAACAT